CGTTTTTGATCGACATTTGAATACCGTATATAATCTATAATTGAAAGGCTTTCCTTCATGGCTAGAGGCCCTCTTCCAGATTACGTTTTATATGTACGAAGGAATTGGTAATGTAATGGAATAGCAGAAGCTTCTGTAGGTCAAAACCTTTAAATTAATTTTTATTTCTTTCGGAAATCATCGAAATATATTTGATCTCCAAATGGTCTTTTCTATCTTTCAGAAGTCTTTTAAGAAAGAATATTCGAATCTTTACGTAATTTTTCCCAAATTCTCCGAAAGATTTTTTTTTCAATGGATTTAACATTTTGAACATCTTCAATTGATTGAATGCACCATGGTCACATATCAACCCAAAAACTGCTTAATTATATATAGACATTGCCCGAAACATCACCTGCCCCATCGCTTAAATTTGCAAGTTAAAATATTCGTGGCGTTAACAATGAGAAATACTCAAATGGCTTATGCGAGCTCGTTTACAGGACTTTACGTGCAATTTTTCATAGTAACTGTCCTATGTACTCGATAGCCTCATGTATTCCACCATTGGTTCTAGGCCTTCTATGGCCCCAAAGGAAGAAGTTCCAAGATGTTAAATCACAAGATCTCAGCAGTCAATTATGATCACCTCTTCGACAAATTACACGGTCCGGAAACCTTTCCCCAAAAAGGTCAATGGTTTTGTTGCTTATGAGGCACGTAGCGCCGTCTTTTTGAATGTAAATGTTACCCTTATTAATACCATCCAAATTTTCACTTATTTGACCCAAGGACGAACCCTAATGAAATTGGAAAAATCGGTTCCTCCGATTTTATGTAAATAAAGTCCCTATATATCTTTCGTTTTGAACGAAATTTTTCATAGGGTACTGAATTGAGTCTTGAATGATGTGTGTCAAGTTTCGAAAAAATGGGTCAGATTTAGATATAACTCCCATATATAGTTTCGTCCGATTTTATGTAAATGGTGCACTAAAGTCCCTATATATCTTCCGATTTGCCAGAAATTTGGCATAGGGTACTGAATTAGGTCCAGAATGATGTGTGCTAAGTTTCGTGAAAACCGGTTCAGATTTAGATATGCCTCCCGAATATAGTTTCGTCTGATTTTATGTAAATGGTGTACCAAATTCCTTTAATATCTTTCGGTTATGGATCCAAATTCATTTTACTGGTCCTTTAAAATGCGACGTCTGTTAGGATTCAACTGTTGAATATACCCAAAGTTGTGTATAGTCGGCCCCGTCCGACTTTACTACTTTCCTTACTGGTTTTAAAATATGAAATAAAGGCATCCTTTGGCATTTCCTCTATTAGCACCCATGCTATATAGCGTGGAAATCTGGCCGTGAAAAAGGTTATTTCTCGTTGTATTCCGCACAATTGAAAAAAAAGATTCGTGTCGATTAGTGCAAAGATATTTTGAAAAAATATGAGGGCGGTGTTTCAAACTCATATCATCATAGGCCAACCATGGTAGTGTAGACCTTCGAAGACGCACCAAATTCAACGGAAGTCGTTCGTGGATGAAACACTTCGAATTAAATGGTCGTCAGTTTTTGGTCATGTTGCGACTTAAGATTTGAAGGACGGTCAATTCCAGTGGTACACCACAGTTTGTTTGCCTAAATTCTACTGAAAAATTCAAAAAAAATTAAGAAGAAAAAACTAATCATTCTACACGATGACAAAATGAACTCTCAAATATCGACTCAATCCAGTTTTTTTGACAAGCCAAAACGTGGAATTGATGGCTCTTTTTGCCGGTCAGCTATGAAACGGCGACCAATGATTTCCTTTTATTCCCGAACATCATACAAAATGCGTATTCAATTACTTTCGCCTTTGTTGACGCATTCAAAACCCACGTTTTGTGGTTTCTCGATCGGAGTGGAACAAGTACATGGAAATTAAAACCATTCCGTTTTCTTATTCGGAAATAGGTATATGTAATAATATAAAAATAATTGTATTTGAAGGATAGAGTAAACCAAAATTTGAATGAAACTTATTTGAATATTGTCATATATGATGATTGTGCTATCCTTTGAAAATATTATATAGGCCTGCCAAACATATAATAGGTCCATATTTTTAAAACATCAAATATGTGTATCATTTACTCTTTACTAACTACTACATTACGAAGTATATTGTCCTCAGATCGATAATGCTGTTGCTACCATAATCCTCAAAAAAAGATAAAGATAAAAACATCTACACATCTGATAGTCTTTGAAAAAAATTTAGAAATCTGTTCTTCTCATATTCCTCGAAATATTTTTTTAGAAATCTACCGATTCGATTGTCATCAAAACAATAAGCAAATCCCGAATCCTCGCGTCTGATAGCACCTAACAAAATATTTTTTAGAAATCTACTGTTCTAATTGTCCTCGATATTTTTAAATCAACGCTTCTGGTGGTTCTAAAAAATATGGTTCGGAAACCTACGCTCCTATTAGTCTTGGAAAAAAATATTTAATAGAAATCTGCGATTCTAATAGTCCACGAAAAATAATTTCAAAAATAACCTTTTCAGTTGATAGCGCTTATTTTTTTTAAAAAAAAAATATACGTATCTAATAGTCCAGAAAAAAATAAAAATCAAAGCTTCGGGTGGTCCTCAAAACAGTATGGTTTAGAAAACTACGCTTCTGATGGTCTTCAAAAATAATATTTATTAAAAATTATTATTATTATTCTACTATTCTGATACCCCTCAAAAGAATGTTCTTTAAAAATTCACATTTTTGGTGGTCCTCAAAATAATAATCTTTAGAAATATCCTGATAGCGATTCATTTTTTTTCGGAATAAAAGCTTCTCACAGTTCTGGAAGAAATATTTTTAGAAATCTACAATTCTAATTGTCTTGAAAAAAAAAATTTTCTCCGCTTTTCCGCTTCTGGTTGTATTTTTGTTATGAAATTATACAATTCTGATATTCCTCAAAGAATATTCGTCTGGTTGTATTTTTGTTATGAAATTATACAATTCTGATATTCCTCAAAGAATATTCGTCAAAAATACACTTTTCTGGTGGTCCTCAAAAATTTGGTCTTTAGAAACCATTTTTTTTTTTACCTACGCATTCGATTATCCTCAAAATTATACTCGTGGCAGTTAGAAATATACGCTTCTAATAGTCCTGAAAAATAGATTTTTTTTAGAAATCTACGCTTTTAATGCGCTTCATTAAAAAATGTATCGCTTCTAATTATCCTCAGAAAATATGGTTTAGAAATCTACGCTACTAATAGAATTGGAAAAAATATATATTTTTTAAATCTAAGCTTTTAATAGTCTTCGAAAAAAACATTCTCTATAAAAACTCCTTTCAATTTGACTATAAAGACTCCAGTCAGCTCGTCTAAACTCTATAGAAATTCCCTTCAGCTTGTATTTAAATACTCTTTCAGCTCGTCAATAAAGACTTCTTTCAAATCATCCATTCTGCTCATTTATAAAGAATCCCTTGAGCTCGTACACAAATACACCTTTCAGCTAATCTATTAAGACTTCCTTCAGCCATTTCTGAAGAGACTACCTTTAGCTCTTCTCTAACAACTCCCCACAGCTGGTCTATAAAGGCCAACCAATAAAAAAACTTCCTCATACCACCGCCGTGTAACATAGGCTACCATAACCCTTTTCACACTGTTTTCTAAATTATCTGTATAATGACAATTTTATTACATTCTATTTCCACTGTCATTGTCTAACTTCGTCTCTCCCTAATGAAGCCATAATTTCATTTTGGCATAACACCAAATTGCTATAGAAAAACAAATGTTGGTCTGGCAAACCATCAAAAACCCTGATTTTATTGTTCACATTATGAAGCAGCTGGGGTTGGGAAGTATTTAAGCTCTGTGACATTTCACAATGTGAGAGACAACAGGATTATATTACGCTTTCTTGCGAATGCGAAAGAGTTCATTCATTTAGTTATTCATTTATCATCATCACCACCACCACCATCATTACAATTCTCATTATCCTTATGGAATTCATTTCACTCTTTTGTCACACACACACCCTGTGAATTGTTGTTGTTATGTTTTTGGCGGCTGTATAAATGGCAAAACAATGAGGTTAAGTATTTGTGTTACATATATTTTATTTCTTTGTTGTTTTCATTCTCCATCCTTTATCATCATAAATACATTTGTATATTTATGTAAGTGTGTGTGTGTTATTTTTATTATGTATAAGTGTGTATATTATTGTGTGTTTTTTTATATAAGAAAAAAATATTTACACACACACCGCAGGATATATTTTCCTTCCTCTCCTCTCTCTCTATCTCTGTGTTTTTTGAACTATATTTCTCTCAATATTATAAATAAAAAATCATTTACTAATCGAATTGAGAGGAAATCCTAAGCATATGAAATTTTAAAGAAAAAAAGATCCGGTGGTACCTTTCAAATTTCTGTAACAGAAATTTCGAGAGGTCCCGCACAGTAATAAATACCGGTATCTCGTTTTAATGTTTTTTACCATCTTTGCTGGTGTGAATTTTCATTTGAAGTATACCAAAGCAAGAAAAAAAGGAAATGAAGAAGAAAATCTAACTACAACAACAACTATCTATTACTAAAATTACAACAACTGCACCTTTCTTATAAAATATTTTCTTAAGTTCTTCTTTACTTTTTAATTTTGGCTTTTGTCTTGTGTTACTGTCTTCAATTTAATTTTTCGTTTTTTAACAACAACAAAAACGCTTTAAATGTTTATAACAACAATAACAAAATTGAAAAATAAAAAAAAAATCAAAATTCTAACCAAAAAATTATTTTTTTTTCTCAACAAACTTCTATCTCTCCCCCGTGTCTCTCTTTCTACGATTTTATTCCATTCGAATTTGTTTTTCTTTTTTTTAAATTCCTTACCCAACAAACGATCTTCGTTAAAATTTCGCATTTTTAACAAATCGTTTGTTAAATCCACGAAATGAAAAAAATCGACAATCCTTTATACAATCCTGCAGAAGGAAACTAAAACCGGCACCCTGAATTTCTCATCGTTCAAGAGCAGTTTTACTTCCAATGTTAATTTCCTGAAGAGAAGGTAAAAACGTTTAAAAATTTCGCTACGTACCCCCAAAGAACAACTAAGTCGTACTAATTTAAAATTTCATATGGTTTGGCTCTCTTTGTTCTCTCTTCTTGTTCTTCTTCCATTTTTTTTTCTATTGTTCTACACTATTTTTTCTCCTACATAATACAACAACACATTTTGAAACCTCCCTCATCTAAAACCAACAAATAAAAACACTACACACCCACACCACCACTACAGATTCAGCTCGGGAGATTTATCTTCCGAGGCTGATGACATCGATCCAAATGATTTGCCACCGGCAGCTCGCCCCATCCAGGAACAACCAACGAAACCACCAACGGCGGTTTCGTCGGGTGGCCCCCCAACTATGCCACCACCACCGGCACCGGGCACCGCCAACATACCGCCACAACCAACGGGCAATGCACCAGACTTCTCGTTAAGTTTTGGCAAGACAACAACAGCTACGAATAATCCAACGGCCAGTGCTGCTCCACCGCGTGGAGTCAGCGCCCCCACGAGTCCGGCTAAATCGCGTGAAAGTCTGTTGCAACGTGTTCAAAGCTTAACGGGAGCCGCACGAGATCAAGGCGCTTCAATTTTGGGTATATACAAAAATAACCAATTTTTAAAATGTTTTAAATTAATGAATCGCTTATGATTTTGAATGCTCTAACACCAATGCCACAACAAAAACTACTAATAAACTAATGCACGAATGTCACAAAAAATACTTACTAACACCTATTGCCGTATACTTTTATAATGCACTGTATTATAAGCTTTAACTGAGTATTTAAGTTTTACGAGAATTTAAGACATTCAAATAAATAGAGACCTTTAACTGTTTTTCGGGGTAATTGTAATATTCATAGCTATACCTCGACCTTGTATAATGAAGAAGATTCGGAACTGGAGTTATATATTGCAGAAAATAGGGTAGATTGGAATACCAGCATAGATAGAAAGTTATTGTATTATTGTCCGTATATAACGACGAAGTTTCGGAAATAGATTTATATTGGAAAAGATATGATGGGTTCGATTCCCAGCTAAGATGGAAAATTTCTTTCAAAGTGGTTTTCGAATTGTTTTTTTATAGAGGCTTACATATCCCTCCAGATGAGATGCATTAGAATGACCCCGACATTCAAATAACCAACCTCGACATCAATGAGGATAATACAAAATATGGCAATGACAATACTAAATAAGCAAAGACTCCAATCACTGCACAAGATTTACAGAAACAAGTTTTCTAGATAATGATAGATGTCACCCTCATCACCTAGGATAGACTGCAGCAGACCAATCACATATGTAGCTGGATTAAAACTAAACAAAGTTTAACGGAACCATTATCCATTGGAGGTGGATAATTTCTATAACTGGTTTTCGAATATTTGTAAAAGGGGTCATGGAGAATCTCCTAGACGACCCCTTACATTCTAAGAACCATCCCCGGTTTCCACTTATGAGTACAATACAAACCAAGGGGTAGAAGGAGATAGCGTCACCAAGAGACAAATGTCAAGATTTAAAACAAAGAACCCAACCACTAGGTGTTGTTTCTAGTCAAATATAGATGGCAGACTCATAACTAAGACTATAGATGGGACACTCATAACTAAGGCTACAGCAGAACAATAATCTACATAGGTAGAATCAAAAAGACAAATATTAACGAAACAATTACCTTGTCGACCTGGGCAATTCCTTGGCCCTAGATCCAATTCAATACACCGATTGTCGACTAGTTGAGTCGATGTAGATATTTATGTCCGTCTGTCCATTATAGAAGAAGATAGCGCCACCAAAAGAAAAATGCCTAGAAACGATAGATGGCAGCCCCATAACCTATATTACAGGCTACTGCAGACAAATGATATACTTAGCCAGAATAAAAAACAAATATTAACGAAACAATTAACTATTATAAGTGGTTTTTGAATATTTGTAAAAAGAGCCATAGAGATAATAGAATGCATTGGAAGGCTTCCTGACATTCTAAGAACCAATTCCGGCCTTAAATCATGAGGAATAGAAGGAGATAGCGCCACCAAGATGAAAATGGCAACACTAATAAGCACAAGGCTCAATTATGTTTTGTTTCTAGGAAACTATAGATAGCAGTCCCATAACCTAGACTACAACAGACCAATAATCTACTTAGCTAAAATAAAAAATAAAGATTAACGAAACCATTAACCAGCCGGCTGGAAAATTCCTTGGTCCTAGAACCAATGTAATACACCGAACATCTGGCAATTATAGAAGGAAAATAGATGGAGATAGCGCCACACAGAGATAAATGGAAACACTAAATAAGCAAAGACCCCAACCAATACATAAAGCACAATTAGGTTTTGTTTCTAGGGAAAAAAGGTAGATGTCAGTCCCCATCACCTAGGACAGGCTACAGGAGACCAATCATGTACTCAGCTATAATAAAAATACAAAGATTAATGAAATAATTAACCAGTCGACTTGAACAATTCCTTTTCCTAGACCCAGTTTCGTACACCGATCGTCGTATCTTGACTAGCTGAGTAGATATACGTGTCCGTCCGTCCATGCGTCTCTCCTTTATAGATGAAGATAGCTCCACCCAGATTAAAATAGCAACACTTAATAAGCAAAGACCCCAACCACTACACACAGTGCAATTAGGGGATATTTCTAGGAAACGATAGATGTCGGCTTCCCCCTCACCTAGGACAGGCTACAGCAGACTGATCATTTAAGAAGATTATGTAGGTGTTAAGATCAACTCCTAAAGGACTTCTGACGATGGATGAATAACAAAAAAAATCTGCAATAGATTCTAGAAGTAGAAATTTTATAAAGACAAATATAAAAATCTGCAAGAATATGTGTAGATTGGCATATAAGCTGGGTCAGATGTATATTGTCTATGTATTTAATTTATGTTAGGGTATAATACAATAAAATAATACAATACAAAAAATAAGTATAACACCTTTTCAAGGTCTCGAGTTTCTTCTGTAGATCATTTATGGTGGTTAAACCATAAGTTGTGAAAATTCGCCAATTTATAAATAGAATAAGCGATATCTAGAGATAACCTGTATAGAAGACCTATAAAAGGTATTATTTCTATTGAAGGTCTGTAGAAGGATTCTGTCCGCAGAACACCTGTATAAATTAAGGACTATAGTTGTATTTTTTATTTCAAAAAAGGACTACAGCCCGTAACACGTCCAATTGGTTGAGCACCTAAGATTTCAGTAGCCCGATCAAAAAGCCCGACCTAATACTGCTCTCCAAAATGCAAGGAGTTGTGTCCAGATGACGATCACGTCCAAAAAACATAATGTGTTAAGGACCACACAGTTCCTGCTGACATGATATTTGACGTGTTATTCCTTCCATACCTCCGCCACTTACCAGGACTTCAGCTATTCTCATCAAGGTATCTAAGACGTTATTCCCTCGGACGTAAACAGATCGTCGGTAGAAAACTCCGTGCAATATGTACACCAACTAGAGGTAACCGAAGCCAGTAATGGTTACAGATACAAACCAACACCCTTATGGAATTTCGGACAGTTGGAGGCTTTTTCCTAAGTAAAATTGTTCCATTGTGTGGCACAACTTAGGTTCTCAAATTTTATTGAGACCGCACTGATCCCGGAATCATAAAAAGGTATCCTTCCTATTTTTATATAAAGCTAAAGGAGTACCTGAGTGGTCCATACATTTCCTTTAAGTGGAATTATAATGCGATGAAGAACTTTTTTGGACTGGTATCTCCCCAATAATTTAAGAACATAGTAGTCCAAATGTTGTAGAAGTCGCTTTTGAAGTAAATTCTAACAAGTAAAAAAGTGTCAATCAGTGTTGCCGGCAGATTATACCCTCACCCTATGGTTTATCAAAGATGCTTCAGATTTAAATTGATAAATTATATAATATTGACGCTTTTTGGGGGAGGTACCAGAGGAAAGGGCAGATGAGTCCCAACTTCGGACTCCTCTAGACTTCGTAAAGATAATAGGTTGTGCAAAGTTTGGTTCAAATCGGAGATTCCATTCGCCTGATATTGGATGTATAAATATTGAAAATGTTGACCATTTTGTGGTCAGAAGAAGGAGTGGACCAATGGGTCCCATCTTCAAACTTGATCTAGGCTTGATAAAGATAATAGCTTGTACAACGTTTGGCTACCATTTTGTGTGGGAGGTACCTGAAGGAGTTGATCGATATTTGCCATCTTTGAACTTGAACTAAGTGTGGAAGAAATAATAAGATGTGCAAAGTTTGGATGAAATCGATTATTCTTTTCTAGAGTTATCTTGCGACATTTGTAAATCTACTCCAAATTTTCAGAACCGTATTTGGTCCAAAGGAAACCCATATTTCTAATGTTATGTTTCCAACGCTTTACACCGCTCACTGTTTATTTCACCCGTTTAAACCTACCATATAAATCGTTGATAATTGATTTTCATGGGATAGTGTCCGGAAACTTGTCGCCAATCTATGTTTTTGCTTCAGTTAAATTTGTTGTCCTTTCAAAAATCAACATTGTGTCAACATGAATAATTGCATTTTATACCCTTTTTAATATTACAACTTTTGCTTCACACAAAAAAGTCATACAGTAATGATCCGAGAGCAATATAAATCAAATAATCGCATTGAATTAATTCTAGTAGCTTCCTATATGTCAAATATTTAAGATTAATCTAAATATTTATATTTTTTAATATTTGTTTATTACCTTATATATTATTCAATATACATATTAAAATTTATAGCCGGTGTTAAGAAAAACGAGTTTTCTCTCAACATAAAATATCCCGAAGGTCTCTTTATTTGAATGCCTACCTTACTCCAAATAACATAACAAAAAATACAAAATGCATGTTGTGAGCCCAAGCCCATAACCTTGGTGTGCAATTTCAATATATATTTAACATAAATATTCACTAATCATTATTTTTCATAAATTTCACAAAAAAACAACCACCCACACACTCACTCCCGAATACAATCCAAAGGTGCTGCGGTGCAAAGCGCAACACGTGCTCCAGCCTTTAACAAGGATAAATATTTTACGCTATTGGTGCTCGATGACCACAATACAGATTGGTCGAAATATTTCCGTGGCAAACGTTTGCATGGCGATTATGATATACGCGTGGAACAGGCGGAGTTTAGGGTAAGCTAAACTACTTTTTTTGATAATATATAATATTAATTTTATGTAAATGTGTGTGGGTATTTATAGGACATAACCCTTCACGCCAGCGCAGAATCTGGACCGGTAGTAACAATGGAAGTACATCGTGGTGATTCTAGGGTAAGTTGTTTAAAATTAGTTTGATGGGTATTTCAATATATATAAAATTTGTAAATATTTGTATTTTTCTTAACAGATCCCTCGCATGTTCCGACCAGATTTTGTTCTTATCCGCCAGCCACCACGTGACGGTGCTAATGATTATCGTTCAACAATTCTGGGCTTGAAATACGGTGGAGTGCCCAGCATCAATTCATTGCATTCGATTTACCAATTTCAGGTAAGATTTCGATTTATTCGAATTATTTTTAATTCACAGGGAATTAAATAGGAATTTTTCCGTAGGCAGAGGTTTGTACAAACTTATCTATAGATGACTGACAAAATGATAATTGTCGACCAGATAAATTATATAAGTGTACAACAAAGTTAGAAAGCTATAATGGGGTTTAAACCCTGACAAGAAAACCACTATCCCCAATGATTTTCGGACGAATGAGTTTCAATATAAATGAGCTTATATGGGATATACTATTTAGAGATGTTCTACAACAACATCTGTCGCCATAAACATTCCAACTTCAACTTCAACTACACCACATTTTACATACACAAACCAGTACCAGAGCTCGCTCCAAGAGTACAAAAGTTCTGAAATTCGACATTAGCCATAAAGCTGAAGGTATGAAAATGTACTTCATCGAAATATTGATTTCAAACCCCATTTTCAGTCAATTTGGGTCAATTTGCAAATGTCCGTTAGTCTGACAGGTGCTCACGAAGTGAGTAACCGTATTGTTCCAGTTTTTTTTTTTTTTGAATGTTTCTATCATCTATCCACTCCTTTTATTACCTCAGTACAGGGTTGCCCATTTTCAACGGATCCATGTTTTTTTTTTTAATCAAAGAAAAAAAAATAAAAATTTGGCGGTTAATCATTTAATTTGTTCTAAGTAGCTATGTTTACATCAATTTTTGAATATGATATCTCCGCCTCTGGCGTTGATGACGTATTGTGCCCTTTTTGCTGCATTTTCCATCGTTTTTGCCAACATTTCGGCCGAAATAGCGGCTATTTCTTTACGAATCTTGTCCTTGAGCTCTTGTGTGCGGTGGAGCGACGTCTTGTTGAAACCAGAACTGCCTCATACGCTTTCGACGAATAATTGGCATCACAAAATTGGTCATCATGTCGCGATAACGCTCCTGATAGATGGTAACAGCACGGCCCAATGACCGTTTTCGCACTAACGTCAAACTGTGACTTTTTCGTCATGAAGAGTCACTTCTTGAATCATTGGCGTAAAAACGGCAATTTTGCTTATTTACAGTCCCATTCAATGTGAAATGGGCTTCATTGGACATGATAATTTTGTTCCAAAATTGCTCGTCATCTTTGGCCATTTCGATGACTCTTTGGGTCCATTACAATCGACGAGGCTTGTCTGCAGGCAACATTCTTTGCGTCAATTGAATTTTGTACGGGAACAAATGCAAATCAATGCGAATAATCCGTTGTAAAGTGGACCGAGCCATGCCCAACTGCTGAGAACGGCGTTTTTGGGATGTTCTTGGAGACCTATCAACACTGGCTCGTACGGCAGCGATATTCTCAGCCGATCGCCTTGGTCGACTTTTATATGGCCTCTTCGGATTAAAATGAGCCTTACCAGTCGAAAATTTTTCGTATAAACGCTTAATGGTGTTCTTAGAAGGCGCACTTCTCACATTTTTTAATGTTTTAAAAGCACGTTGAGTTTTCACAATTGACTTCTTCTGTTGAATATAAATTTCAACTATTTCAGAGCGCTCGCGTGGCGTGTATTGGTTCATGGTAAAAATCTGCTTGGACTGACGCTTCAAACGCGGTATGTCATTAAGCGGTGTGACATCTATGTCAAAAGTTATGGCGTTGCCAGGTTGCCGTTGCCGTGGAATATGGGCAACCCTGTACTAACCTACATTAAATTCATAGAGGGGGTATTTCACTTCCATGAACTTTTGTATAATTCGTCTGGCGTGAGATCGTCTGATTTAAGATCTCGGTGTTCGGAAACAGTTATCTTTGCTAGTGTGTCACTTTTTTCTGTGGCACATTTCGAATCATTTATTCGCATTTCAAGGGCGCAATCGGCAGGTTTTTGTGTCGACTGACCTTTGACCTCCGGGAATCCGATTTATCCATGTACGTCTGTCTTTTGAAATTAAGATAGAGCCCCCCCAATATTTAAGATCGAGCTTTGCATATAAATTTCTACAGCTCCCTAACAGGACCTCCTATTATTATTTTTTTTGACGAATGGTTCAAACATTTGAAGTGAATTGCCCCTAATCTGATATTTGGGGTTCTCTATGGGTACCAAATGCAAAACATTAGTCTACTTTTTAGGATAGCCTCAAAAATGTCTGCATATTTTGGATTCTGCTAATGTATAAATATTTCAAATTAAAATATCAATATTGGCCAAAATTTCGTGGTATTCCCCAATAAAATAAGAACTGCCTTTTTCGCTATTTTGGGCATGATATTCTATTTTCTTTATAACGGTACTTTATATTTCGGTATTTTCAGAATCTCAGACATATTTTCAACCCAATAGACAGCATTTACGATTTTATGGAACTCCTTGGGTTTTTAATTTTCCTACCAAAAAAATTATCAATATCGTTCCATCTCAAATTGGCGTTGTTTTTAGGACTTTAGACATGTTTTTCAACAGAGTTGTCTCAAAAAACATCAGTCGATATCCGGGTATAGCACACATATAAATATCCAGCCTGTTGATATGTATTATTATTCAAGGCCAGGGGTGCTTCGTATTTCTTAAGCGTGGGAGGTTAACTGAGAATCCCCCATATGAAATGACATAAAAAAAAGAGAACGCAGAACCACGGGCATTAGTTTCCATGCATGAGCAGCTATTAAAGATCCTACCCCTAAATTGTTAAGACGCTTCACATTATGGGAATATATTTCTTTATAGCCCCCAGATACTTTATAAGTATTTTAATAGTGCTAGGCATATTTTCCAAACGAAGTGACTATATTTTAGCATTACAATGTGACTGTGTTAATTGACCTCGGAACTTCTTCACGGAATATTTTCAACATAAGTCACGCCTATTTTTCGGTATGTTTAAGGTGCTACCTCAATTTTCCGAACTCATTGAATGTAGTTCATTTTCCCCCCGACAGCAATAAAGCCATGACAAAGGCCTCGTATAAATGTCCCGATCGATTTTTGGTATTTCACTTCATAGTAAAGAGTAGTAGTACATGTAAGTACGGCTCTGGCCAAAGAAGATTTATGACTAAAACTATACCATGTAGGGGACATGCTCAACACATAAGCAAGACATGTTTTGATGAATATTTAGCTCGTCACACGGATTTGGACTTTTGTGTAAAAAAAAAAAAAGCAATTCCAAGAGTCCCTGTGTATGAAAAAGAGGTGGTTTACTTTTAGTCTGATACTCATTCAATAGAGGTATAAACCCGGTTATGGAAGTTATACCATAATATGTTTTACTTACTTACTTAGCTGGCTTGTTACAGAACGGTTGTTCCATAAGCAGAGCTTAAAAAAGATTTCCAAGCGCGTCGGTCTTGTGCGCAAGTCCACCAATTTGGAAGACCACGTCCCAAGATGTTGTTTTCTACTTGGTCTTTCCATCTAATTCGTGGCCTTCCCCTTCTACGGGAACCATCAGTAGGCTCATTTTTATATGCCTTTTGAGCTGGGGCATTTTCATTCATCCGAACAACATGGCCTAGCCAACGTAGTCGCTGCAGCTAAATACGACTGACTATGTCGATGTCCGCGTATAAATTGTAAAGCTCATGGTTCATTCGACGCCGATATTCACCGTCGACGCAGATCGGCCCGTAGATCTTTCGGCGAATTTTTCTCTCAAACACCCCAAGAGCTGTCTCATCTGCTTGCGCAAGTACCCATGCTTCTGATCCATATAATAGCACGGGTAGTATCAGCGTCTTGTAAAGTGTGAGTTTGGTCTGGCCTTGTTTGGCCTTGTTTTTAAACTGCTTACTTAGACCATAGTAGCATCTGTTGGCCATCACAATCCTTCTCCGAATTTCAAAACTGATGTCATTTGTTTTATTTATGGCGATACCAAGGTATATAAAGTCTTTAACTACCTCGAAGCCGTAGTTCTCAAGTTCCGCAGTTGGTCCGAGTCTACTAGACGTCTTGCGCGTTGATACCATCAGCTTGGTCTTCTCACCGTTTACTGCCAGACACACTTTGGCAGACTCCTTTTCAATTTGTTCAAAGGTGGCTGTTACCGCTCGCAATGTTCGACCCATTATATCGATGTCATCGGCGTAGGCGAGTAACATGTGTTGTTTGGTGTACAGAGTGTCATTTCTGTTCACCTTTGCCTCTCGTATGACCTTTTTCAAGTAGGATTTTTGAAAAACCAGGATAGCACTTTCTATACAATGGGAAAGAGACTTATTCCTCTATGGTTGACACATATCGCCTTGTCTCCTTTTTTACGGGACACAGGATGCTGAGGTTCCAATCATTGGCCATGCTTTCCTCTAGCATCCTTACCAGCATCTGACCACCAGTCTTGAATAGTTCGGCTTGTTATTTCTATGCAACGATAGATGGCAGCCCCATCAACTAGGACATTCATCTATATAGCTGAAAAAAGAAACTAAAACAAGTCCCAATCGAAGACATTCAATTTTAAAGAGTATCAAAATAGGAGTGGCAAGTTGTACCGCCACCCAGAGGGAAATGACAACACCAAAAAAAGACAGAAAATTCAAGAAGGATGTTGCAACATTATCGAAATTAAAACAAGCTCTAATTGAAGACCTGCAAATGTTCCCAAAGGAAATTAGCAACATTAAATAAATAGGACATTGACGACTGCAGAAAATGAATGAAGGGTGTTGATTCTATGCAACGATAGATGGCAGCCCCATCACCTAGGACAGGCTACAGAAGATCATTCATCTATATAGCAGAACAAATCACGAAACATTAACGAAACTAATACAAGCATTAGTCGAAGACTTGCACTTTTTAAGAATATTTTTAAACCCTTTGATTAATAAAACAGAATTATGTGTAGTCGCCCACATACCCTTGCCCTTGTGATAAAGGGTGTAATAATGAGACATTTACTTTCTAACACTGTGCAAAAAATGTAAATTTTTTTATAATTATCGGGAAATTCAAAAATATATATGTTAGAGGGGCTACAAATAGAAGGCATGTGTATCGGCCTTTTGAAACTTTACTTCGGGAGGTGACCTAAAAAGGTTTGGCAATATTTATCATTTCCAAGACATTTGAAAATATTCGGATTAGGAATAAATCCTTGCATTTTAGGTATATGGTATTTCTTTGGCATTTTTACTTATATAATTGTAAAGAATATTTTTGTCTAATAAGTAAACACTCAGTCGATCCTCTGAAGGGGTCTATTCCGTCCCCTTTTTCCAGAAATGATTGAAAAGTCACTAAAATAGGTTTATAGAAGGTCAGAATTTTCTACAAAAATGTTCGTAATAACGTTTTACTATAAGTCTCGGAATAGACCAAAAATTAAAAAATCAGTCTAAAAATCCACGTCAAAAATCTTAAAAAATATGAAAACTCATTTTAGGGTTAAACCCGATCTTATTCTGAGTTCGTGTCAATTTTCTGTCACTATATGTCGTTTTAGAAGTATGGTATAAAGGATAAACATATTCTCCATCAAATTTTAGTACATCTCATTGAACAAGAGAATTCATTATATATATTTATATATACCGAATATACAGGGTGAGATAAAAAACTGCAACAAAGTCAAACGCCATAATTTTTAATTTTTTTTTTTTTTAAATTTTATTGAATGAAAGCAAAAAATGTCGAAAATAGCATCAAATTTTAGAATAAGTTTAGATTTGTACGAATTGGACTCCTTTGGCACGAATTATGGCCTTCAATGAAACCGTCACATGTTGCCCGAATGTTGCTCTGCGGTATTTTGGCCCATTCCCGGCAAAGCGTTTTCTTGAGGTGATCGACACTTTGGTATTTTTAGTGCCAACTTTGCTTTCCAAAATACTCCAGACACAATAGTCCAACGGATTGATATCCGGAGATTTTGGTGGCCATTGTGCGCTGGAAATGAAGCGAGGAACCTCATTTTGTAACCATTCATGGGTGGCGCGTGATGAGTGCGATGGTTCTGAGTGCTGTTGGAATGTCCAAGGTCTGTGGCCAAAATGTTTGCGTGCCCAAGGCTTTAATACACCCTCCAGAATATTTTTGCGATAATATTCGGAATTTATTCTGATGCCATGCTGGATTAATACGAGCGGAGAGCGACCATCGGCTGTTATGGCGGCCCACATCATCACCATGGCCGGCGCTTGAGTTCTGGTGGCCAACCAAAGGTGCACATTTTCTGCTCATCTCTTTGGCAAGTAAACATGATCATTTTGTTTGTTTACAAGCTGCTGGACAACGAATGTTTTCTGATCGGAGAAAACCAAATATCGCACTTCACCACTTTTGGCCAAGCAAAACAATTCTTTAGCTCTTTTAAGTCTATTTTCTTTCTGTTGCGTTGTAAGTTCTTGCACTTTTTGAAATTTCAATGGCTTTACCCCGAGCTCATTTTTCAATATTTACCGAATGGAATATTGCGATATGTTCAGCTCACGAGCCATTTTTCGACCACTGCGACGCGGGTTTCGATCAAGCCGCTTCTTTACTTTTCGAACCATTTCTGCTGATGTTGCTGTTTTCTTCCGTCCACGTATCACGGTAACAAGCGATGGTACGAGACACATAGACGTCAATTTCAGACAATAAAAATACTAGTGTCAAGGAATAAAATATTCTACGTCAAATCACTATGAGTCTCAAAATAAACTATGTACTAATCTAAACTATGTATAAAATCAACAATATTAGCAAAAAATTATTTGTTGGCTTCAATAAGTGTTAATTAAACACCCTGTAAAAATGTGTCAAAATCTTCACTAAGACTACATCTTAGGAGTATTGAGTCAAAGACAAAATTATTCTACATCAAATTTTACTATTAGTTACATAAGAAAAGAGTTTTGTAAAAACAATATTTATTTGTAAAAAAAAAAATTATCTCTAATTTGGGTATATAAAACTAATTATATGGACGGACAGAATTTGTGGACATAAAAATGTTCTAATTTCGAGTTCTAATGGTGGAACCTTGTTACACACTATTCTAATTTTTATATAATATTTCAATATAATTTAAAAATAATTTAGTAATATATACTCCTTTACATTTCAGGATAAACCTTGGGTATTTGCTCACTTGCAGCAGCTGCAACGCCGTTTAGGTAAAGAAAATTTCCCTCTAATCGAGCAGACATTCTTCCCATCACCAAAATATTTGGTAAGTACAACCAAAATAAATTTATAAAAAATGGGGGTCGATGATATTCGATGAGGGGTCGATGATATTCTTCGCCATCGCTTCTCACAGAAAACTGATTTTTTTCCTAAACCTTCGACAAATGTGATGTTCTGTAGTAATTTAAGGGTATACTCGTGTAATGTAGGTCTTAAGTTTTTCCTTAAAAAATTATAGGAAGTAGAATTTAATATTGCGCATTACATTTATTCTCTTTTTTGTTTCGATTTGGTTCTTATTTTTTGGGCTTACATAACTATTAAAAAATAATAAACATAAAAATAAATTAAATACAATTTTACACAAATACATTACGACTACTAACTAATGGATAGACAAACAATTGCATTTTTTGTAAAACATGGTAGCATGTTTTGGCACATAATGAAGATTCAAGTGATCACACATCCTTCTATTGTTTATGGATTCATTTTACATTCATCATACTGGACGGTTCTTCGCCAGCGACATTTAAGCATTGGCTCTGTAACACTGAAGGGTGAACGGGCTCGGGCTGGCATACATGCACTGTAGTCTGTTTCACATTTAGCAAATGGTGACCATTGACACACATTGGATTTCTGATCATAGTCCAGGCAACGATTTCCAAAGCAGGGAGTTATCTGGAAAAAGAGCACATTTTCATTATTAGTTATTTATTTATTACAAAATTTCCAATATTCAAATTTTTTTGATAGTTTTTGCTACCTTACCTGACATCCACATCCCTTCTTATAGGCCCCGGTGAATCCAGTTCTCTCAATAATGCTCATCTTTTTATATTCCTTGGCATAATGACACATATTCAATTGATCACCTCGGCCGGCAATTACATAAAGACGTCCGAGCTGCAAATTAACACCACACATACTGTCGTGGGCCGAAGTCATAATGCGGCCATGCTTTAAGGTTCGTTGGCCTTCTTGGGTCATCTGAAAATTTGGAAAAAATAAAATATATAAAAAATCAGTAAGGAAAGTAGTAAAGTCGGACTGGGCCGACTTTATGATACCCTTCACCACTTTGGGTACATTATACATATGTATCCGAACTTAAATATGCGATCTTTATCTATAAGTAAACCGACTAACATTATTCCCAACACATGCCATTCTGCAACCTATTCTAAATTTTGTAAATAGATTTAAAAGAAACTTTATTTCGGAACCGATTTAAAGGGAACTTGCAGAGATTAATTTATATTAATTTCAGTACTTGTGTCAACCAGCCTAGCTATGGGTATTTAGTGCATAATTTACTTTAAATCGGACGAAAGTATATATAGGAGCTATATATAAATCTGAACCGATTTAAAAAAATCTTGACACACGAAAGGTTATAGTGACTTCAGTACATTGTACAAAATTATGTGCCGGTCGGCCAAACGTTGTGCCATTAGTGCACAATTTATATGGGAGCTATATCTAAATCTGGACCGAAACTTAGCAGACATCATTCTATGCTCAATTCAGTACGTTATACCAAATTTCGTGCAAATCGAAAGATGTATAGGGAATTTGGTGCCCCATTTACCTTAAATCGGACAAAACTAGATATGGGAGCTATATCTAAATCTGAACCGATTTTCACGAAACTTAGCAGACATCAATCTAGGCTCTTTTCAGTACGTTATGCCAAATTTCGTGCAAATCGAAAGATATATAGGGACTTTGGCGCCCCATTTACCGTAAATCGGACAAAACTGTATATAGGAGCTATATCTAAGACTGAACCGATTTTCACGAAACTCAGCAGACATCATGCCAAATTTCGTGCAAATCGAAAGATATATAGGGACCTCAGTGTACCATTTACCGTAAATCGGACGAACATATATATGGGATCTATATCTAAATCTTAACCGATTATCACAAAACTTGGCAGACATCACTATATTCTCAATTCAGTACGTTATGCCAAATTTCGTGCAAATCGTAAGATATATAGAAACTTTGGTGCACCATTCACATAAAATCGGACGAAACTATATATGAGAGCTATATCTAAATCTAAACCGATTTTACGATACATAGCAGACATCACTCTAGGCTCAATTCAGTACGTTATGCCAAATTTCGTGCAAATCGAATGATATATAGGGACTTTGGTGCCCCATTTACCTTAAATCGGATGAAAATATATATGGGAGCTATATCTAAATCTGAACCGATTTTCACGAAACTTTGCAGACATCACTCTATTCTCAATTCAGTACGTTATGCCAAATTTCGTGCAAATCGAAAGATATATAGGGACTTTGGTGCAACATTTACTTTAAATCGGATGAAAATATATATGGGAGCTACATCTAAATCTGAACCGATTTTCACGAAACATAGTACACATCATTCTGGACCTAATTCAGTATCCTATGCCAAATTTCGTGCAAATCGAATGATATATAGGGACTTTGGTGCCCCATTTACCTTGAATCGGATGAAAATATATATGGGAGCTACATCTAAATCTGGACCGATTGTCACGAAACTTAGCAGACATCATTCTAGGCTCAATTCAGTACGTTATGCCAAATTTCGTGCAAATCGAAAGATATATAGGGACTTTGGTGCACATTAAATCGGACGAACATATATATGGGAGCTATATCTAAATCTGAACCGATTTTTACGAAACTTAGCAGACATCATTCCGGACCTAATTCTATTCTCAATTCAGCACCACAGTGTGGTGAAGGGTATAATTAAAATGTATACATTTATAGGGATGGACTTGTTAGACATACTTTGTAGGACTTCTTCACTTCCACCTTGTAGACAATTTTTCCAGCTACCAATTTTGAAGATTTACGCATTACCCGAATGAGAGCAACTGAAAAGAGAATGAATAAAGAGAGATAAATATTGTGATACCTCAATAGTAGACGTATATATTTAAAATAATTTTCAAGCTCCACAATAGGTGTGGATTATTAAAATATTTTTTCAAGCTCTTCAGTAGGCATGGATTTTTAAAGATTATTTTTTCAAGCTCTAGAAAAGTCGGGGATTTTTTAAAGATTATTTTTCAAGCTCTACAAAAGGCGTGGATTTTTTAAAGATTATTTTTCAAGCTTATAATAGGTGTCGATTTTTTAAAGAAATTTTTTTAATTTTTTTTTTAAACAAAGAATTAATTTCTTACTCACCATAATCTGCTTCACAGTAATGTGTCTGGGGATGGCTGGGTAAGCACATGCATGCATCTGCCGGTGTGGCATAAAATGTAATAATAGCCATTATTACAATACCAAGTAATGTGAGAATTCTTGTTATTTCCATTGTGTATTGAGTTCAGCAGACAAAACGATCACTGGAAAACAAAAAAAATAATTATTAAAAAAAATATTTTTTATTCCTGTTAAAAAAAATAAAAATTACACCAACTAATGAAATTACGTTTGTGATCACTTCAAACTAAAATTTGCAAATGATATTCCCCAGAATTTGTTTTCAAAATTTCAAGATTTCTCATCTTTCTCTTTATCTCTAAAAAATATATTTATTTAAATTTCGTAGATAATAGAGATAGTGTAAAGATAAAGGCGGTAAATTCCCCCTTTTATTTTGCGAAATAATTAATTTAAATAGTAAAAAGTTTTTTTGTAGTGCCATTCTGACCGTTAAGAAATGAAATAAAACGAAAACATTTAAGTAAATATTGAATGTTTTTGTTTAACAACAAAAAACTGCTATGAAGATCTGAGAATATAAGTTGTATCATTGTTTGCTCAACCTAAATGACTTGTGGAAAAGCAAAAAAAAAAACTTTATTAGTCACGATAAAGTAATAGTGGTAGTTGTAACAAGAGAGTGTAATTTTTGGTGTGGCATTTAGGGTTCTTACCGGGAAATAGCATAGCTACAAAATAAATACCTGATTTTGACTTGATCATCAACAGAATTGGCAAAAATGACAAAAGACATTCCAGTGACCATAACTGGTCACTAACTTGTGTTTACATGGATTTTTAAGAGTTGGGGTTTCCAAGGACTATCAGAGCCATAAGCGTGGATTTAGTAAAAAAATCCAAATACTATCAGATTCATAAATTTATATGTTTTCAAGACTTTCGGAGTCATAAGCGTTGGTTTTTAAGAACATTTTCCAAGGACTATTAGTTTAAAAAGTGTGGACTATTTAATAATAATTTTCCAAAGACTGTGGAGCCATAAGCTTGATTTTTTAAGAATAATTTTCTAATGGTTCTTTAATGGATTTTCGAAGCATATTTTCATCGACTATCAAAACCATAAACCTGGATTTTGAAAAAAAAAATAACTTTCCAACTACTATGAGAGCCACAAGCGTGGATTTTTGTAACAATAATTTTTCATGGAATACCTGGATCATAAGGACTGATTTTTTAAGAAAACTTTTGAAAAAAAATACCCGAGACATCAGCTTAGATTTTTAACAGTAATTTTCATTGATCTATCAGGTCCAAAAACATGGACATTTTAGGGATAATTTTAATAGGCCTTTCAGAGCCATTTTTAAGAGTACATATTTAACCCTACGGTCAATAACCGGGTACATTTGTACCTTTTTTTGAATAAAAATGCTGTAAAATTTTTAATAATGGAGATATTTGGATCAAATTTTGAGGAATTTTTTAAAGTTATTACCGACGTAGATGAATAACCGTGGTACATTTGTACCCATCCATAGATAGCTCTGTAACTCATTACAAAATTGGACATCTACATCAGTACGTATAGACTAATTTAAAACAAAAAACCTCACGATAGTCCAATTTTTTAATGAGTTACAGAGCTATCTTTGGATGGGTACAAATGTACCACGGTTATTGATCTACGTATACTTTTTTGATTATTGACCGTAGGGTTAACGTGGGTCAATACACCAAATTGCAGTGTATAAGCGTGCAGAGCCATAAGCGTTTGAATATCTGAACCGCTATGGAAGCCGTTACATGGGCTAGGAGCGAAATAGTGCCGCCAAATTTGGTCTAATATGAAGACTCGGCTCACAGTTTTTTTCTCTCAAAGTGATAGTTTCTGGCTGGAAGTGGTCGTTTCATTAATTGAGAAAACGAAATCGGCATGTATCTTCGAAGTACCAAAATGGGAGCAATGCATTGATATGACGCTTCTGTCATAACGAGGACCTATATTAATTGTTTGTCCACCAAAAAGTCGATAAATGGAACTGGGCTTTAAAATTGGGATCTATTTGAAAAAAATCTCTGAAATAATATTATTTATCCCTTCAAGAATCCGTATGTTTCTTTACTGTCCTTTCTGTAGGACGAAATATAACATTACGGTAAAGTTCAAAAATGCAGAAAAATAACCTTCAATATATCGAAAATGAGGTGGTACCTTAATCCGAAAGCTATGTCGAAAAATTGGCCTACATTGAAATATTTGTGTAAAGATGTTTTTCACCTTCTAAAAACATCCACTTACAATCATCTAAATACCTCAAATTTGGTGGGTACTTAATATGGGGCTATGAGCAAACATGGATCCATATTGCAAATGTTCTGAACAGATGTTTGTAACCCTCCAAGAAAGTGGAATGCCAAATTAAAGCCCCTTCGTTTAGAAACGCGTCGCATAATGGTGGGTACGTAGGTTCTTCTCCTGGCTTTCCTTTTCATTGCAAAACTTAGATCATCAAGCTCGACTCGAAAGAGTATAAATAATCACTTAAAATATTTTTTTTTAATCTACGCCTTTTCATAGACCTTAAACTTTTTTTAAATCTACTCTGGGAAACCTTCTACTTGTGGAGAACATCTAGAAGGCCTTCTTTCTATGTAGGAGACCCCTGAATCTTCTATAAAATGTAAACTTGTATATTTAAAGATTTCAGTAGAATATTAATCAGTAGAATATTATTGGAAGGTCTCTATAAAATAATACCTTTGGATGGTCTATAGAAGCATCTGCAAATTCGTCTATTATCCGTAGAAGTTCCTTGGAAGTTGTATAGAAGACTTCTTGAAATCCTCTATCTATAGACGATTTCAGGAAGGTTATCGACATTTATATGAGGTATTTTATTTTTTGTAGAACTATATACGATGTTTTACTTGTAGATTTATAGAAATTCTTTTTAGAGGCTTATATCAATATAAGTTCTCTTGAAGGTATTGCGGCTACAGAAGGCTTTAGAATATATTCGATTCATTGTAGATCTTTAGAGCTCTTCAATTTGAGAAAACTTGTAGAACCCCATTTCTCCTCGATTTTTTTACTATCATCCCATGGGTATCAAAATAAAATATATCTCCAATTTATTACAAAAAAATCAATCAATCTCTGATCCATAAAGTTTCCAAATCATTAACCCATTTATGTATCACATGAACATTAAAAATCCCCCCGAGTGTCACAGACAGATTTCCTAACAGACAAACAATATGAAGACATTCCCCCCAAAGAATTTTCTTGTCTGTCTTTTCTAATTCCCCATTTGACTTTGATCATAATTTCAAATTGTGTATGTGAGTGTGTGTGTGTATGTGTGTGCGAGCGCCCACAATGGAGCATCATCACAGTAAATTTATCGCTTCAATCAATAATCCATGCTATACAATTTATTATTATCTACTGCTAAGCGCCTGCTGCTCACCCTCTCCACCCACCATTCAAAAATATTAGCCATTTACGGAGAGTATCATAAAACATTGGCAAAAGTGGGGGAAACAAATGGGGGTGGGTGTGTTCCTTAAAATTTCTTAAGTGAATTGAACACACATACGCTCACACACACACCCGATCTAATGCTCACTGCTATCTATGCAAAGATAAATTAACATTAAATGTTTGTCATGTTTGACGTAGTTGGGTTCTTGAAGATCGCTGGAGCTCTATTGGCGAGGGAGGGTGGTGGTAGGTGAAGGTGAACCATATGTTGTTTATTTTATTAAAACAGAAAATACAACAACAACAGCAATATATTTATGTGTACAATATTTTTGCATAAACATTTGAATGTTTTCAATTACAACAAAGTTAGGAGAAATAAAAACAGCAACAACCATGACAACAATAACAACATGAGGGAGAGAGAAAACAAAACGCCAAAATAAATCCAAAACAAACATGTGAATATTTTGTATCGAAATAAATATTCTCAGGCACAGTGTCGCACGACTTTCAATGAAGGAATGTGGGACGCTACAGAGTTGGGGGTGGTAGTTTCTTATTGTCTATAAATATGAAACCAGTGGGTAGAAGAGCTCTAAAACCCTCTAGAAGCCCTTTTATAAGATTTCCGATCAATAGAAACCATCCGAAAATGTGTCGATTATTAAAAGAAACTGAAAATCGTTTATTCACAGAAAGCTTTACAAGGTTTAATGGCCCTAGGATATCTCTTGGATAGACCATAGAAAACATAAGAAAGGTATTATTTTTGTAGAAGTCTCCTCAGAGGCCCTTTATACATAGAAGCTCTATGGAATGTTTTCGAAAGAATGTATATGCAACAGAGCTGTAGAAGGTTTTCTATATGTAGTATACCGCGGGGAAATGGATTTATATCAGTACAAGATATCTGGAATGAAAACTCTTCAGCGTCTATTAGGGTCTACTATTCCTAAAAGCCTTTGTATCCATTCCTCTGGAATTTTGAAGCTATATTAACCCTAGAAGACCTATCTAGCGGAATTGTGGTTAGCCTTCTATCTAAAAAAAGGGAATTATAGTTGTAGAAGGATTTTCATTTGTGGAAGAAATCAGTAAGTATTCTATCTTTAGAAGGCCTCTGGTAAGTCTAGTATCGCTAGAAGTCATCTGAAACGTCTGTTATCCCTAGAGGCCCTCTTAAAGGTCTAATATTCCTCAAATACCTTCTACCTATAAAATCCCTTTGGAAGAATGTCTATTTATAGAAAATATCTAGAAGGTATGTTAACCCTAGAAGGCCTACAGCAGACCACTGGGAAGTCGTCTATCTATAGAATACCCGAGAAAAAGTGACATATAGTTGTAAAAAGGTTTTTATTTATGAAAGAAATCAGAAAGGATTCTATCTTTAGAAGGCCTCTGGTAGCTCTAGTATCCCTAGAAGTCATCTGAAACGTCTGATATCCCTAGAGAGTCCCTTGAAAGTATAATATTCCTCAAAAACCTTCTACCAATAAAATCACTTTGGAAGAACTTCTATTTCTAGAAAAGATATAGAAGTTTTATTTACCCAGAAGGCGTATCAATACACAGCGGAACCCTGGGAGGACTTCCATTTGGAAAATATCTCTGGATGATGGATTTATATCTGTAGAAGAATTATGATCTGAAGAAGACAT